TCTTATATATAAATAGAATCTCAATTATGATTAAATGTTTTTAACAGTCTAAAATATGTGAAATTTTTACAAAAGTTGGTAATTATATATATAAACCTAAAAGAAATAAATTTTATAAATTTTATAATAAATTATTTGACTTGATATATTCATCATGCATAAATTTTTTTTAATATATAATCTATATTACAAAATATTTTACTTTTTATTTAATAACTCAATAAAAAAATTTTTTTTACTTATGATTCTATTTATAAGGAAAAAAATAGTAATTGAAAGCATTTAAACAAGATATCAATTACTTAATTTAAGTCAATATTCATCAATTTAAACTCTTGTCTCCTCAAATAATAATTTTTTTTTAAAAAATAATTATTTGTTTTTTTATATAACTTAATAAATAAGAATTTTTTATTAAATCTAATTCAGGATGAAAGACCCTGTATCCCTGAAAAAATCAAAACACTGAAAGAGCAACTCAACATTATTGATGAGGAACTTCACAGAGACTCACACATCTAATGCCAGTTTATAACTTAAAAAAAAAAAAAAAAAGTAAAAATAATTTTATAATATTTATATTTTCATATTTAAATTTTTTTATTTAATTTAAATAAGTTCATATTAAGTTAAATATATTAAAAAAAAATTGTAAAAAATTTTGTACTACCCTGTATATGGAATAAACAAAAAAAAACTTCCTTCCATTCACTACACATTTCTTAAAAATTTTCTTTTTAGAAAGTTTTCTTTTTTTTAAAAGAAAATTTTTGTTAAAGAATTTACAAATACACTGATTAACAGCATCACACTGTACTCTCTCTAGAGATATAGTTCTTGCTGGTAAAAAAGCTGTAAAACTGAAAACAGCTCAAACAAGTTATCTTGGATGACAAATCAAAAGTATTATTGGAGTTTGTATTGACTTTTTAATGACAAAAAGTCAAGTGGTATTTCTTATATAGCTAGAAGATACAGGCTAATAAAACATAACAACAATGTTAACATGGTAAAATACATAATCATAAATAAGAATAAAGATCAATATTCTTTACTTTTCTTCATGAACTTTACTTGTGATGCCATATTCAATCTCTTGTTTGGTTGGAATTAAATATTTTGCAATTAAACTTCATCTGACCATAATAAATAACAATGGTGACACTCCACTCGAAACAGAATGCAAATGGCTAAATCCTAGTTAAAGATTTTTCAGATTAGATAAAGATTATCAAAAAGATATAAGAAGTATAAGCCAATCACAAATTAATATAGAAATTATAATAGCATACAAAATGAGATTTTTTTCTTTAAAACAATAAATAGTTTTTTTTCCTTTGTAGTTTCACAAATATGTATTGCAGGTTTTATGGAGGTTTTTCTGTAGATTATTATAGATATCCATATATAAATATATATATGTACCTCCATTTTTACTTTTTTAATTTTTAATAGATTTAATTAGAGCTCATGGGACATAATGAAATATAACTAGTTTGTAGTTGATTATATTCGAATAGTTTTTTAAGTTTCTGTTTATCAAATAATAAATGAAAACTTAAAGGCATATATCTTGATAAGTTAGTTTTTCATTTATGCTATTAGGACTCTGGTATTAATAATATAAGAGAAATGGAGGGTAACAAGCTGACTGATAAGTAGTATATTCTATCTTAGATAGTTTAAGGAATAGACAGAATCTGACAATTTATTACAAAATATGTAAGAGTACTTAAAACAATATTCAATAAACAAGATATTCACCAGTTATTACAAAAAAAAAAAAACTATATATAATAAATTAGTTATTATTTAATTTAATATCTTTTTCTACTAATTTTTTTGCCAATCCCAAAAACAGATGTTCTTGAAAAGTTTTTTTATTTTTCAATAATAAAGTCTAAACACTTTTTTTAATAACACATATTCCTAAAAGCAAAAGTTTCTTTTACTTGTCTACTTTCTTTCTTTAAAATCTTTTAAATATTTCAATAACAAAACTTTTAAAAACTTACACATTTGATTTATGACAAGAACACCTTATTGGGAAGAAAAAATCTATTAAAAAATGCCTTCCTTTATTCTTTCTCAAGATCTGGAATTCTAAAAGAGTCCACTAATAAATATATTTTCCAAGTTCCATAAGAATCTTGAATCTATCATAAGTGAATACCTTTGTTGAAGGCAGGTGGATAAGTTAGTATTCTGGTCTGTAGATGTGAACATATTATCCTCTTCACCAATTAAATGTCTGCAACAGTCCTCTTAAGCATATTAACAAATTTTTAGAAATTTTTGGAAAATTTTGCCTACCTTAATTTGACCCTGAATTTTTTGTTATATCAGAATCTCCAGTTGGTAATTGGTCAAGATCTTGAATTGGCTGATCAATATGTAGCAGAAATGTAAACAAAACACATACTCCTCATATGTCTTCGTCATATAATATAATAATAATCATGTAATTGTTGAAAGCAGAAGAGCAAGATGTCATAGTGTTTTCTTGAATAAAAGTGGTTTGATGTTTTTCCCTCCTCTCTTGGATTGATTTCTTTTCTCCTCAATATCAAAAGAAGTCTTATCCCAATTCAGTAACAAGTTTTCTCTATTGATGATTATCACAAGAAGGTATCAAGTATGTCAGGTTATAAGACTTTATAAGCAATAATTCCTACAATAAGTCTTGCTATAAGTACCTTGGTCAGCAATGGAATAGTAAAAATTAAATAGTTCGCCCAGCTGCAGGTGGTGATAAAAGATTTATTCCAATAAACTAAAGTTAATATTGAAGGGTTTTTATTTATCAGAACAAACTCTTCAATTACCTTTTTTCTTTTTCATTATTTTCTTAAAAAAAAATAATAATTTTTAATCTCCATAGGATTACAGTGGTTATGTAGGGGTAACAGTTCTGAATAAGAGCTGGCTGTAATGTTTTAGACTGGTGAAAAGTCATCAAAATATAATTGAACAATTTCTTTATTCCTCTTAATTATATCTAGAGGCCTTAGGCTTACAACAGATATGTTGCATAGTCTCAATAAGTTTAACCTTATATAATATTTCTAATACACATGTATAAGAATCTTCCATATAGGATTAATTAAACATAATAAACATATAACCTGATTTGGAGTTAAAAAAAAAAAAATTAATTTATTAATTTAAAAAACAAATCGTTATTAATAAAAAAATAAAAAAAATAATATAATTTTTAAATTAGAATATAAAAGTAAATTGTGGTTAAAATTTAATAAGTCCCATGACAATTAAAGAAAATTTTTAAAATTTTTGACGCCACCGCGCTTTCGCCGTTAGCCCGTTATCCAATTTGAAAGATCATTACACCACATTCATCATATAGCATTCCTATTTATGACCTAAAAATAGAATTCCGGGACACGGTCTTACTGCTTACTGTCATACAATCCAAACAGGTAATTACCAATTTTGTCTTGTCATCTTGCAGAATTTTATGCAAGACCTTTGCCCCTTTTTTTCCTCACCTGAGTTGGCTGGGCTGTGTTGACCCTTCAAAAAACACTAATAATCCTACAATTTTTTTCTCCACCGCTTCTCCATTGTACACATAGCCTTCTTCAAGCCACACTTTACAAATATTGTAGTTTCTCAACATTTTTTTCCCCTTTATTTAAGATATGGACAGCAAAGTATCAAACGTTCACATTCATGGCGCTAAAGACAGTATACAAAATGAAGTTAATACAGAAGAAGCCTCACCTTCCCACGTTGACTCCACTGCGCCTCCTAACGCCGCCTCCCCTAGTGCACTGCAAACAATCACGCAAGTAGGAGATAAATCTCTTCGCATTCAAGGTGTGGAGCCTTCTACGCAAGTTAATGTTGTTGTTGGCTCGGCTAAGGATAGTTCTATTACTTCTTCAAATTCGCCTGTAATGCCACTTCATTCGTCGGCCATGGCTGTTTCTTCAACAAATTGGCCTACAAACACTTCTACGGGCAGTAAAACAACTAACTTGTCAAACTCTAACCATTTATCGCCCCAAAAAGAAAACATATCGGATTCAAAGGGGAATAACTTATCTACTAACACCCAAACACCCACAACGTCCGGTTCACACGACATGTTAACGCCTGCCATGAAAGTGACATCACCAGCAAACTACACGCCTGAGACGGTTAACTTCTCTTCTCCTTCCACACCAATTGATTCTTCGTCTTCGGGATCATTTAACCAATTCCCCGTGAACCCGGAGAAGACAACTCCGGGGCAACCTACTAGTCCTAATAATGCTGCGAAGGCAAAACCTTTTGTCTGCTCGGTGTGCAACCAAACATTCAGCCGTCAACATAATTTAAAATCTCATGCTCTAACACATTCTCAGGAAAAACCATTCCAATGTCCAACATGTCTCCACTTCTTTCGTAGACATCATGATTTGAAAAGGCATGCAAAGTTACATACCGGTGAGAAGCCATATCAATGTCAACATTGCAAAAGAAGTTTTGCTAGATTAGATGCATTGAATAGACATTTAAGAGCTGAAAGTTTTTGTGGAGGACCACAAAAAAAACTTTACCAGGGTACAGAATCCAAGTTGGAGCAGTCACAGCAACCGCCACCCATTCAATTACCGCCACAGCAAACTACGCCACAGCCACAAATGTTAATGTCCACTCAATCCCAGCCGCAATCGAAATCACAATTACAGGTGCAAGGTGATGTTACAACAAAATCCCAAAACCAACAATCAGATTTAAAGACGAATATAGCAACGACACCTCAACAACAAATAGTACAACCGCAACAATTTAAGGAGGCTCAAAACAAGCAAACGACGAATCCATCAACTTCTCCCCAAGCGAAAACAGATATATCGCGACAAACCCAGGATTTCTATAAACGACCACCGATGATTCACCAAGAACCATATTCATGGCCGATTCAAACCCAACAACCCACACCAATTCAAACAATTCCATCACCTAATACTCAACCTTTACAAGCAAAACCTGTCATTTCAATTGCAAATCCTGCTACAACACATCAAATTGTATTTCCACTTGAAACTCCGATACCTACAAATTCCTCGACTTCACATTATTCAATGCAATACACCCAATCTGAATTCAATGTACAAGAATCACAACGTAGGACGGTACCTGAAGCTTTGATGGCAAATGAACAGGATATGGATAGCCGTATTCTTCATAACAAAGCTTCACAAAAAGAAATGGCGCTTATTATTGAAAGGAATAATTATTTAGAGGAACGTGTTCGAGAATTAGAAAATGAAGTTATTAATGAACGTAAATTACGATCTCGACGCGAATTTCTAGAAACCAGGGTCAATGAACTTGAGATAGAGGTATAGATTGATTAGCCAAAATATAATTGCTATTATATTAATGTATCATTAAATAATCGAGTTAATTATTTCTTTGCACAGAAAAAGCTTCTCAAACAACTTCTTTTAGAACGTGATACCAATGGGAATTCAGATATTAACCAAAACCATGAAAAAAAGCGCAAAGCAACTTCTCCAATTGAACCATCAAACTCTAAGCATCAAAAAGATGGAGAGCGTATCATAATTCAACAATAATCACAATAAACGAGGGATTAATTTGGTTGCGCACAAGATTTATGCATCGTAATAATGTTTTTAGCCTGCGACTGGGCCTCGCTTGTAAAGGATTGCATTATATATTACATATATATTACACATTTCGAAGGCATGTCACAGGCAATGTCCATTTACTGGTTCAGAAATTCCTGCACTTTATCTTTCAATAACGAGTTAAACTTAAAAAGTTATTAATTCTATCCAAGTATTTTATGTTACTTGAAACATAAAGAGTCAGTTTCTGTGACAACTTGTGGGCGGATGACATTTCGAGATGGTTGGCATGAATCTAGATTTTTATTGGACAATGCAGTGCATGATCATTATTAATAAAAATAGAAAGCATGCGGTTCTGATCGTGTATACAAATATTTTTTCATAAAATCTATTAAAGTGAATCCATATTTTTTAATATGTTGGAGCACGTCTTATGTAAAAATCGACCAATTCCTATTTTATAAATATTGTTAAGAAATGAATAAAAATTAAATTTATAAATTTTATATTTAAATTATCTAATTTAAAATGAAAAAAAAGTAATATTAAAATATTATTATAATAAAAATTTAAATAGATAATTATATATTTATTAAATAAAAATCATTTATTATATATACAGTATGGTGCAAAAAAAACCGGAATTTTTTTAGACCTATATTATCAATATAGAATTATTTAAATGTTATAAAACTTTATAAATTTGTTTTTAAGATAAAAATAAAAAAAACCATATGTCTTTTTTAAAAAAGCAACAAAAAAAAACATTTCTCTATTATAATTTTTAAAGAATTATTATTATTAATTTTATATAAAGATATTTATGGTATTTAAGAATATTAAAAAAAATTTTTTTTTAATTTTAAGTATATTTTTTATTATAAAAATATTTAAAATTTAAATAGAATTAAAATTTTTTGATAATTTTCTAAACAGTTTTTTATTATAAAATATATATAAAAAAATTGAGAATTAATTTTTTTTTAACTTTTAATGTATTAAAAAAAAAATTAAAAAAAAAATTATTTTATTTTTTTTTTTTTGAAGGAACAAGTGGTCCTCACATATTATTTTTATTTATAATTTTAGACTTGTGGATTACAAGATTTATAACTCAATAGTGTAATAT